GGGAGCCGATCAACTTTGGTTTTGGATGGATAGAGGAGAATTCAGTTCCTGGAATTTGTTATTGTTTTGGATCGTTTGATTTAATATAAGTTATTTTCCTTTAAAAAAAGATATAAGCTTCTAATGTAATCTTATACAGTATCAAGTACTGTATTAAGATTTTATAAAACATTACACATATTTACGCATGGTATAATCTTGCAGTAATTTTAAGGAGTAAAAATTACAGACATCTACCAACGAATGTTCTACATATGCAGGAATTTTAAACAACGTCTGGTAGAGTAGTTGTTCAAATTCTTTGACCTATTGTTCTATACACACAACTATTTGAGGGTAAAATGGTCACTTTAGTTTGCAGGCAATAGTTGCTTTTGAGACAAGTTAGTTGTTTGCTCTACAACAAAAAGGATGACACCCCATCCCTGAGGGCCCCCAACCCCGATCGGACGGTACGTTGGGAGGATGTAAATTGGTTTATAATCCTAATCTGACAGATAGAGAGTAGGATTATGTCCCCGGTACCATAATCAAGAAGGAATCTTTGCTGGTTTTGTTTAGGTTTCTCGTTCTTGTCCAAACGTGTCCTCAAGGTTCTATTTGGAATGAGATAGATTAGGAAAACTTTGATATCTTAGAGGAGAATCACAAATAATTTTCATAATGATTGTCACATTGTTGTGTTAAATTATCACCAGTGACCCCGACCATACTAGACCTGATCAAGTCAACAAACTAGAAAATTACAGACAAATTATAACATCCTTAAATGATAAAACGAAAAATGTTTGACTTACCAGACAACTTTTTCATCAAACACGTAACTTATGATTCCGTGAACTGAATTGTATAATAATCAAAACAAGTAAGGTCAAATTACTTTTCTGACTAAATTGATGTTATTGTAGAAAATTATGTTAGTGATTTTCATAGATTTATTTATTTATTTTTAAGTCATAATAATTCAATCGTTTCAGCAAAAACTTAACCAATTTCTACAGAATAACCAACTCATCTCATTCCAATATTAACAAATGGACTCTAAAATTCATACTTCTACTTTGAGCACCGCACGTACGTAGGGAAAACAATAGTAGTCGAGGACCCATTTAGCTTAATGGATTCACTTGTACTTGTTGGGCTGCAACATTAACAGATTAGTTGAGTGATTTTTCTTGGTCATCCACTTATATATTGGTCCACCTCTACTCCTCTAGAGCTCATTAGCGGGAGTAAATTAATTGAAGTTATATTGAATGAATAATGAGTTGTTCATAAGATTAAATTACCTGAAACATGTTTAATTACCCATAAGAAAATGTGTTATTGTTTAAAAAGCGGACGACTTGCAATTTAAATATTGTAGGTTATGAGTCTTTACTAGACAATCTTTATATGCTTGAGAATTCAGCCATTTTATGGCATAAGCTAAATAAAGAGTTTCAAATCCACTGAGGGTTAACCACCTAAAGACTTTCATGAGCATACAACTCATATGTGTGTGCTTGTCAAAGTTGTTTAGTTAATCTTTTATGATTTAATGATACAAAACTTAAGGGTTCTGCAGAAATAAAGTTTATTAGCTTTAGAGCTAAATTTTTTGTATCTAGTTATGTGTAATTAAACGTAGCATATTAAGGCGCGCCTAAAGAAATATAATTACAATATGTAGCCCAAGTGGAAGATTGTTGGAATATTTTATTCCAATAATTAATATGGGCTAATATTATAATTATTGTATTAGCTATTTATCATTATTGAGTTTTATGTGGTCAATATTATCTAAGCCCAATAGACTATTAAGATAAATTGTATGGGCCAAATAAATGGGCAGAGGCCCGTGTTGCTTGTTAAAGTTTAATGGGAGCTCTAGATAGACAAACACACTCTATATAAAAGCTATGGTCCCCAATACATTGAACCACACCATTCACTTTCTCTTCTCCCCATCAGAAGAGAGACTAACGCTTCGAGACGGTTCAATCGAGGAAGAGCCAAACGCCATCTACCTCTGTTGAGTTTAAGTCCAACATAAACTAATAGATATAGATATAATTTGGAATAACACTCGATTTTTACGTGAAAACCCAGAAATTGAGAAAACCACGGAACTTTTTAGGCTAACGTCCAAGCCCGCTCTTTCTCATTATACTCTCCTCGCCAAAATACATATACAAATGTTGAAGCTCCATTAATGGAGTCTCTAATCTCTAAAGAAAAGAAGCAGTAGCCAGGGAGGAGGGAAGAAGTCCATCCTGGAGAAGGCCTTTCCTTCTCCTATTTAGGATGTTTTTACTTGGACTGTAATTTGCTGGTCTGGTCTGGTCTAATCTGGTCTGGTCTGGTCTGGTCTGGTCTGAACTGGTATGGTATGGTCTGGTCTGGTCTCTTTGTATTTTTATAACTATCCAGGTCTGGTCTGGTCTGGTCTGGTCTGAACTGGTCTGATCTGGTCTGATCTGGTCTGGTCTGGTCTGGTCTGGGACGAATTACAGTCCAAGTAAAAACATCCTTATAGAAGGGGAGGGGCCTAAATGGGCCAATGAGCCTAAATGGACTGGTTGGGCCGAAATGGGTCAGGTAGGCCTAAATGGGCCTCGTCGACCGGGCTCCATACCGGGGTGATGGTCACTTGGAGCTCTTTTATGATCTACATTTGATACTTTGTCTGCTATTTTGTTCCACAAGTTCATTTGAACTATCCTAAGTGCATCTTTATTGTCATTTCTTGCCATTAAAATACTCAAACCATATCTAGGAAACAAACTCTTGATATGCCCAATATTGATTGTCACTTGGAAGTAAAAACAGAAATAATTGAGGATATCACACGAGTATACTAAAGTAAATTTACTGGCTCTATTTTTTTAGCTAAAAGTTGTCGGTTGTACCTTGGTTTACTACCTTTATTATATCAATCAAGGAACAATGACTCTTTTACCCATCTCTTCTCAATGGAAAAATGATTTTATTTTTTTCATTGAAGACTTGATTTGATTTTTCTTTACTTAACCTTATCAATAGTTTGAACCTTTAGTTTTTGTTTTCATTTTTTTAGTTTTCTGCTTGTGTGAATACAAATTACAATTAGCCTTAATTCACTCTAAAAACAGGCCATAAATATAAGGTAAGTTTTATAATTAGATACCAATCCTGTTCTTTTTAAAATTTTACAATTTTCTTTATTATGAATCTAAACATCAATTTATGAAATTGATTCTGAGAAGAGTACATCACCAATTGTGAAAAATTTTCAAATTTTAATAAAATTAATAAAAAATAGTAAAACTCCATAAAAAATATGGATGCCTTTCCCACCGCCTGTACTGTCTCCCTGCACCACCACCTCCGACCAGTATAAAAACAATGCTAATTTTTCTTAAAATTCCAAAAATATGGCATATTACTATTTGACAATGCCAAAATTTTCATTGAATATGCTATAAATATGACATTCCTAATGCATGTGGAATTTTCTCCCCCAGTTACTGGAGATGGTGGTGCTGGGACGGCAGTTTTTTTAGCATTTTTTACTTTTTTTAAAAAAAGTAATTTTTTATTTTTTTTTAATTTTTTTAAATTAGATGCCTTTCCCATCGCTTGTACTGCCTCCTTGCACCACCACCTCTGACCGGTGTAAAAAATTATTTTTTCTAAAAGACGCCATTTTTCCGTGAAAATGCCAAAAAATGGCATATTACTATTTCAGAATGCCAATATTTTCCTTGATTCTGCCATATAAATGGAATTCGTAATAGATGTGGCATTTTTTTCTGCTAGTGACTGGAGGTGGTGTTGCTGGGGTGGTAGAGGCGGCACTGTTTTTTTTGCGTTTTTTGTTTTTTAAAGTTTTTTTAATTTTTTTAATTTTTTAATTTTTATCATTGAAATATTTTTATTAATATTTTAGTATTACATCCGTTCTCTTTTAATTGCAACATTGGACTTTTTGCACTATTCACATATTCTACTTTGACTATATTTTATTAATTAATGTATTATAAATTAAATTTTTAAAAAATATTGTTAAATTCTTCTCATTCTAAATTTTCAAAATATGAATTTTTTAAATTTTTTACTAATAAAGAATGAAAGATATTGATGGTCAAACTTATGCGTTGGCAAACGTGAAATGTTGAATGTTGCAATTAAAAGAGAACGGAGGAAGTATTTTTTACGATTTTTTTATTATTTTTTATTATTTTTTTATGAATTAAAACATTTCAATAGTATAGCAACAAGGGTATATTTGTCCAACACACATAATTGGTCCTAGACGGCAGATCATATCAGGTCGGCCTGACGGGAACCGCCGTCAGGCCGAGACCATTTGGGGAGCTTCCCGGTGGAACTTTCGGATGAAATTTTTTGAGCATGTTCTTCATCAAGTCTAGTTTATCCATACCAAATTTGAGATAAAAATTCAATCGGGAAGACAATAAAATAAACTCTTTACAAAAAGTGTGCTTCATATATATTTAAACAGCGCAGTTTATTTGAACAATTTACTTGATTCTCGATTGAATTTTTAGCTGAAATTTGGTGTTGATAAACTAGACTTGATATAGAATGTGCTCAAAAAATTTCATCCAAAAATTCCACCGAGAAGGGCCTCAAAAGCCCTCGAACCGGATGGCGAATCCTGTCAGGCCAGCCTGACAGGATTGCTACTCATTGGTCCTATCAAAACATAATTTATTTTTTTATCCTATTTGTGCAAAGTGAGAACTTTTTAGTCCTATTTACCGGTTGTTTCAAACCAGGCCTTTATTTGCCCGATATGATCGATGGATCGACCACGCACAATTATATTTAAGTTTGGTTGGTCGGTTTAAAATACTTTTATTCAATATATATAAATTTGGTTGGTTTACTATACTTTTATTCAATTTAAATAAATAATAATGGCGAAGTTGTTGAATTGAATGAGCAAATATAATTAAGATTAAAACAAGACGTGCAAATCTGTTTTGGTTAAAAATAGAAAGAAGCTAAGGAATTAAAAGTCCACTCGATGAATACATGTTTTGAGTTCTCTTATCGACCAGTGACCACTACAAATAATAATTAATTATACTGGAAATGCGATAAACAATAGTACGGAGTACTAGCTTCGTATTAATTCGCAACCTCAAAATTAAAATTGCAAGCGTGCCAGCCAAACTTAACATATAGCAAATGGGGTGCATCATTATATCTCATGAACAACCCACACAATCCCATATAACATAATCTCATTGGTAACTAGCTAGCTAATATAATAATGTTTCCCCCACGTTGACACCAATGATCACACGGCAGAGGCATGCATGCATGCATCATATTATACCATTCACATGTCTATCTTCCCCATGCACGCTTAATTTCCATCCATACGCCTCACTTCCGGCGAGGCGTATAGGTTTGGAAGGTTACGTTAATTCCGGCCTCTGGGAACTCATTCGTCACGGAGCTCCGACACTTCATTCCGAGGGGGTCCATGGCTTTAGTCACACCCTTCCATTCCGAGGGGGTCCATGCATTGCACGTAATCGATACCGACATTATATCGGGCCGAAATACTTGCACCACCTTCTCCAAGACTCGGACGATATCATCATCGTCGTAAGCGGGCCACACACACTCATAACTAGCGTAGCTGAAACCGTCTTCCGGTGTCACATGGACGGTGGAGTAACGGTCATTGTCAATACCGTTCATGGAGTATCCACAAGGATGAAATGCAAAGTCACAAATGATTGAGTTAGGGTTGATGTGACCTATGCCACTGGCATCTGTCACATCTTTTCCTAACATGTCACGTCTAGCAAAAAACTTGCGGGCCACCACCTTATCCAGTTGTGTCATGCAAACTTCAATAAGAGTAGTGGAGTGATTATTATTGTCCGAGATGGATCTGGCCATCTCGGGGGTTCCATTTGTGGCGCAGAACACGTGCCATGAATGAGAGCTTAACTTGGAGGGCAAGATTGATGCCTTTCTATAGCAAAGATGGCTAGGCAAATTGGTTTCTAAATAGATGACCTCTTCTTTGAAGCTTATGTGAGGGTATGGTTGGTCTTCAGGGAAAATAAAGTTCCCTCTAGTATATCTGCACTCGGATAATGTGAGGCCCATCTCACCGCCAAAGTGGATCATCGGACGGATGGACTTCAACAGCTGGGTGGTCCCACATGTCTTGATTATGATCTTGGTGGGGTACACAAACAGGCTTGATTCTGAGAGAACGTAGGAGTCAAAATATTGGTTCCCCACGGCTGCAACCACCGTGCACTGCACCGCACGCAACACCTCCTCCAACGACTCGAAGCTCAACTGGCGGAGTCCTCCCGCTCCGATCACCGGATCATCGCTGGAGAAGTGGAGCTCGAGCCTCTTCTCAAACCCTTCGAAACCCGAAATAGCCATAAAACAAGGTTAACTGGATCAGCTAACAGCCTGAAGTGAAGTCGTAGTACTAGCTGGAACTATATATTACTCCTAATTAAAATGAGTGGGAATAAAAGAATACTTTGAGAGAAATTGCATTGGGTTTTAATCACTAGCTAAGCAGTGAAGGAATGAAGAGGAGATGCCATATATAACTGCAACACAGAATCCAGTATTTAAAGGGGCGAAATGAGTTATGTGGGGAAATGGAAGGTGAGGTGGGGGCAAGCTTGCATGCTTATTGTGAGGCAGCCAATAGGAATGGTGATTGCCTGCAGCAGACATAATGAATACAAAATGATACTCATGCATTTACTTTTTGATCTCAACTTAATTATTTTTTTATTTTTTTCTTTTTTCTTACTCATGTAGATTCACTAAATGCAAGATTAGCTAATTAAGCTGATGTAACATATCACTTGTAAGTTATGTGTCACTTGTAGTCCAGTAGAAACATGCATAATTATTAATGCAATATCATAATTATTAATGCAACCTTGCATTTTCAAAAACCATTTAGTTACCCCCTAAGTTTTGATCATTCTCACTATATACCCCTTCACGTTAATATTTGTTAAATTAAATTTAGTATACCTCTTAAATTCAATAAAACTTGTATTCAAAATTAATTTTTAAAAAATAAAACAATTTATTATCATAATTATAAGTCATTGTTGATGATCATTTGTTTTTCTACTTAAATACTCGATCGTGGAGTAACAATTAATGAGAGTAGTTAAGGGGAAGTCTCACAGAGTCATATTTATGGGATACATAAAAAGAATTGTTTATAAAATGTGTTATCAAAATTCTAGACACTTCTTCAATATGAATGTACAAGTGTTATTTGTAATTGATTCGGTTAAATTAATCGCAATGACATTTCTTTCGTGTGTAGCAAAGAAGAAATACCAAGATTTTTTTTATCATTCCATGACCTAAAATATAGGTTTAGTATTAATAAGGGACCTAAAAGACAAAATATGTGATGATTATTCCATTTATTCCATGATCTGAATAATTGAAAATATGCATATCATTAAATATCATAACTTATAATTATGATATTAATTTGTATTTTACATTAAAAATTAATTTTATAGACATTTTCATTGAATTTAAGAATTATATTAAATTTAAATTTAACAAATATTAACGTGAGGGGAAAAGAATGAGAATGATCCAAACTCAGGGGGTAAGTAATTGATTTTTGAAAATGCAAGGTTGTATTAATAATTATGACATAACCTCAGGGGGTTAATAGTAAATTTCCCTTAGTGTAACTCAAGTTATGCTTTCATTAATTTCAAAAGTAATTGTCCTGAATAGGATCAAAACATATTTAAAATTCCAAAATATACAGGAGTTAATGTTTTATTTTCCCTAAATAGGACTAAGCATTACCATTATGCCCTTGATATAATTAAAGCCTCATGAGACCTGCGGCTCTACTCTATGCGCATCTCAGCTCTTCGCCGACGACACGGCGGCCCCTGTCCAGTCCGGTCCATCTCAGCTTTTCGTATAAAAGATGAAATTTTCTACTGTAAAAAGATGACATTTTCACATAAAAGATGACATTTTATACTGTAAAAAGATGACATTTTCACATTGATAGTACTGCCAAAAACTTGGCAAAATGAACATCCAATATTCAAAATCGGAAAAACGGATTTTTTTACTGAAATAAAAAATTTAATTACATCATAATCTAAAACACGAAGTCCATGCCCAGAAAGGCTTGGTTTGAAAGAACAGTGCCACCTTATTCCTCTCGGTAAATATATAATTGAGTTAATTATCAAGTACCGTCTAGTCGTGGATCAGACCAAACAAGGACCGTCGGGTCGTGGACCGGACTCGACAAGGCCCGCCGGGTCGTGGACCAGACTGGACAGGGGCCGCCGTGTCGTGGACCGGACAGGGGCCGCCGGGTTGTCGGTCAGACCGGGACTGTCGGGTTGTCGACCGGACTAGACCAGAAGTGCTCGGTCATCAACCGGACCAGACATGGACTGCCGGGTCAATGACCGGACTGGACCGTGGGGTCATTGATCGAACCAGATAGGGATCGTCGAGTCATTGATCGGACCGGACTGGAATTGACACAGGAGTGGGACTCGATCCAACACTAGGCGTAAGTATGCAAATTCATTGCAGCGGCACTGCAACATCCACGTTTTTCAAATTTGGAAAACTAGTAAAAGTCACTTCTCCAATTCATTAAAAAAAAGAGACACATCTCATTTTTTGGTTTTGGAAAACGATTTGATAAACACGTTTTTAGTAAACACGTTTTATGTTTTCCTTTTTCCTGTTTTCCAATTTTCTCAAAATCCGGAAAATATCTTTGTTAGCAAACAGACTCTTAATGTTTTGACGAAGCAAAAGAAGATATTGAAGAAGAAAAGAAAATAAGAAGAAATAAAAAGAGAAATAATCACGGAAGATCTTCCCATTTTGACTTTTCTCCATGAAGAAAGTGCACCATGTTCATAGTGTAATGTACATATAAGACAATTACTACGTATTATTGATAAAACTTAAACCCATGTGATTTTTACCACGTGAAGAAAAATAAACTCATACGATTTTTACCCTATGTGATAATATATACTCCAGTAATGTTGGGCGTATCTTGGAAAAACCAAGAAATTAATCAATTAAAATTAACAAAATAGCTAAAGAAAAGCAGAAAATAAGATGGAACAAAAATTAGCCAAAGCTCGTGCTCGTGCTACGCACAATGTCCTTCAAACGTATTTGTTGCCTTTCACGGTGCTAGGAGCGTTACAACGACCATTTCCCATGATACACTGGCTAACGACCAATCGTTTGAGCACACAAACGACTGTTCCGAAGAACGAGAACAAAGGTAGAAAACATAAGAATATTTCTGGAAACTAGAGGTGGTTTTAGTTCTCAAAAGTACGTGAGGATGTGTATGAACATGTTTTTTGTTGCAAAGCACCTACCAGCTATTTATAGGAAGGATTTGTTGTGTGTTAATAGAAAGTTAATGGACATGAACGTTGGACATCAATAACCAGAACGTTGGGCATTGAATCGTCCATGAACTGTCCATTAATCGCTGCATAATGGCATAAGAACGTTGAGCATTTATTCCTATAACGGTCCAGAACCGTTTTGGTGTGCGACCAGAACATCACGTTCAGGCCACCAGAAGAGTTGTTCTGTGCGCATCAGAACCAATAGAGTTCTGATGCAATTCTGGAGAACTAAGGAACTAAGGCAGTTACGGGAACCAGAAACGCAAGTCGCGGTTTTTGAGAGACTATGGTGCCTAGGTATTTTCCTTTATTTCTTTGTTTTATTTTTATTTCCATTGATTTTAAATATATTACCAATAATTTTATAATATTTTGACAATAGGAGTAGCTCATATAATCAATAGATATTATGATTTTTGTAGAAAAATTATATATAATAAAATAATTAATAGATAAATGAATAGGTTTATATTTTTTTAGTCTCTAAAAATGTACATACGCATTCTAAAAAAATTATAAATATTTCAAAATTATTTTTTAGTATAGTAATATGAAACTAAATTATATAGTAATAGAATACTTATTGATCGATCAAACGTTGATTTAAGTCAAAACGGGAAAAAAAGTTGGATCGAGAAAATTTTTAATCCAGTCCGCCTAGCCACCGACTAGCCCACCTAGCCGCCTAGGCGGCCACCTAGTCCGCCTAGGCGCCCAACCGACGTTTTCCACCGATTACCCCAAAATCGGGTGCCTAGCCCGATTTTTAGATCCATGGTGATACCACAAGTGAAGCGGCTGTCATTGCGGCTACAAGCCTTGCTCCAAGCACAAGAAAGACGGTTATGGATAGTTTCGTCTGATTACCGTTGTACCTTAGATATTGATCGAGAATCCAAAGCCAATAAACAAGCCTCTGCATCCCCATGACAAGGGAAAAGGTGACAACACGCTTATGCGACAGAAAAACTTAACTCTATGCAGGCAAGCCGCTTTGAGAGGGAGAGAAGCTCTGAACCCTAACTAAACCCTACGTTTCGTTTTATTCCATCAACGTTGATCCTATTAATGCAAGACAATGGTATGGTAGGAAGAGTTACTCCAATTTTGAAATTTAAATCATATGCTCCTATTTTGAGAATTTAAAGCTTATACTCATAAAAACAATTACCCTAAAACAAATTTAAAATGTAGAGAACACGATGAAGGGTTACTATGCTAAAAAATGCATAGGGCCTCTCCAAGTACCGGGAACAGAGCCCACTCTCTATCTGTCAGATTGGGATTATAGTCCAACTTACATCCTCTCAACATACTGTCCGGTCGGGGTTGGGGGCCCTCAAGGATGGGGTGTCATCCTTTTTTTTAAATGTAGAGAACATAGTTTTACGGGGAGTATTCTACTGCAAATTTTAATTTAAATGTCACAAATTTACGTTACCGATTAAATTTAAAAGTTATTGTACCTAACCCACACGAGAAACTTTTCAGCAATGGCTGATTCATTGGCTGTACTTTGTACATGTGACGTATTGATGAAACAAAGAATGAAAAACTAAGTTAAAGTAAGTAATAATGATACTAACATGAATATATAGATCTTAACAAATTTCCCTAAATATAATAAGACCGTAATAAGAGTAAAAGTTTGTTGTTTTTGGTATTATCAGATTTTAAACGTACTCATATTTTTTAGCTAGCTTGATAGTAATTACTTTCATTAGATAATACAAAGATGACAATAAAATCTCAAAATGTTTTTACTCTTACTTAGAAATTTATCAAATTTTCCCGTAGATCTTCTTTATTTAATTACAATTACAATTGATTAAGAATGAGCATTAAGTGTATTAATGCTCAAAAAAATATAAAAAGGTTGCATTAAGTGTATCTACGACAAAGACCAAAACAAATCGGTAGACATAACTCAACTGATAAATAGAGGATGCTATAAGAGCTAGGTCTTTTGTAAAAAATTTGTTCAAATTATTAATGTAAAAAAATCCCAAAAAAGTCTTTGTATTGACCCACTCCAATATACGGAAATGCCTCCGTCACGGGTTCCAAGTTTGAAGCCTGATAACTCAAATGATGGGTTACTATGTGAAATGGTGGTGAGACAAAGGAGAGCAATTTTGTTCACCCTCACCAAAGAGAGTGATGTTCACCCCACCCTAATTGCTTGTCATGTGGCTTTCCATCCCTTTTTTTCTTTAAATCAATTTAATTTTTTTATTTATTGTTCAAATTTTATAGAAAAATATATCAGATTTAATAACTTTTTAAGATCTTTCCAATAACATCAATATTGTATATAAAAAAATTGGACAAAAAAATCGTATTTTTATAAATATTCATTTCTAAGTGAATTTTTTAAAAATGTTTTATATGCAATATTGATATCATATGAAAGATCTTAAAAAAATAAAAATTTTGATATATTTTTTTAAAAAAATTGGATTAAAAATTAAAAGGTTAAAACAATTTCCAAATAATTAAGATTTGTCTTGCCACATGGCAAGCAATTAAGGTGGGGGTGAACATCACCCTCTTTGGTGAAGGTGAACAAAATTGCACTCGAGACAAAGTGCGTCATGCTTTTTTTTTACAAAAAGCGAAATCATTCGCTTTTTTTTTACAAAAAGTGAAATCATTCAAACGAACTCGATCTTAATCTTTATCAACAATTCTTGGTGTACACTTTCTTATACACATCAGTACACCCCTTTTGTCTGTGAGAGTTTTTTTTTGTCTGTGAATCACGGTCTACAGACAAAAATTGTCTGTAGATTTTTTCACAGACAAAAGTTGTCCGTAAACTGGGATTTACAGACAAAAAAAAACTCTCACAGACATAAGGGGTGTACTGATGTGTATAAAAAGGTGTACAAAAGGAATTTTTCTTGATATCAAGTCAAGGCAATATACAGATTAAGATCGAGTTCGTTTGATTGCCCCTTTTTTCTGACTTATCGGGCTTATCATGCTTCTTTTTCATCAAACATGTAACTTTTGATTTCGTACACTGACGTTTGTAATAAGCAGAAAGAGTAAGGTTGAAGTTACTTTTCTTGCTGTATTGGTTGAAGTTACTGTAGATGATCATTTTAGCTATTTTTTCATATAATTTTTTATTTAATTTTTTAATAATAAATATTTTATATATAATTTTTTCATGAATCAGCAGAATCAGCCAATACAACCACTTCAGCCACAACTTCATAAATTTCAGTAGAATCAGCCAATTCAGCCGATTTTAGTGTTACCAAACGGGCTCTAAAAGTAGTGTGATGGAAAAAAACATACTCGTATAAACTTGCGATTATAGCTAATAACACTAATCATAGTCTATGATTAAATATGTTTTTAGTTAAACATACTTCCATCTTTAATTTAATTGAGTGGAATCTGGAAAAATGGGAAAAATAAATATATATATATTGATGGTTGAAGAAAAATAGATGAAACCAGACAATCTTATTTGATGCTTGGATCTTATCAACTTTTACAAATGTCGAGAATGTGAAGATAAGATACATAATTTTGAACCACTTGGTTCAATGAATTTAATTAATTAGTTGAAATACTCTCCAACACTACATAAGGGATATCATTTTCCATGTTTTCACTTTAATGAAAAAGCACTTGCTACCAAAGTCCATGTTGTATCAATCATAGATAAGTTTGCTAAGGTAAACATCGTCGTGTTCTAATAACATTTTAGTTTCATATATTGTATGTAGTGCTTAATATACGGAGTATATTGTTTTGATTTTAACTGTACTTTGATGTATATTCAAATTGTTTACTCATTTATGCTTTTTGCACATTGTTTTTAATATACAATCGGTCTCCCCTACCTCCATTTTGACTACGCCCCCAGAGTTTGATAAATTTTGGCAGGTTAGAGATAATACTCAATGACGAGAGGAAGAATATATTGTTGGGATTCATCGTTGATGGAGTATATGGCTCAGGACCCCCCGCCCCACATACTTCCACTACTACGAACAGGTCCAACATGCCCAAGTGGTCCATACACAGCAAACAAGATTCCGGGCAGTTCATGCTACACAAGGCTAAAAGTACGAGCCTCCGGCATTTACAGCCTTCAGCACATGACGACCCTGGTACGTACGGCCTTCAGCACATGAAGACCCCAGGGTACGTACGGCCTTCAGCACATAACGGCCCCCTGGTACGTACGGCCTTCGGCACATGATTGCCCTCAAGAATCGGAGTATATTATATATATATATATATATATATATATATATATATATATATATAGGGGAGGGTTCAAATGAGAACCTTCTTAAAATGAAAACCCGTGAGAACCCCTGAGAAACAGTGGTATTTTTGGCTGAAATTTTTTATGTATATTCCTCATCAAGTCTAGTTGATTCATACCAAATTTGAGCAAAAAAATCAATCGAGAAGGTTGTCAAATGATTTTTGAAAGAAAACTGTGTTGTACTACGTTCGGTTCTGAACTGGGACCGTACTTTCGGTCATTTGACCGTCACAAAATCGGGTGAAAAAATTTGATGAACTTAATTTCAGATTTGAAAATGGAAAACTAAAAAGTGAAAACAAAAAACTGGAGATAAAAAAACTGGAAAATGAAAACGAAAAATCGGAGAACGATAAACAGAAATAAAAAACTGGAAAATATCTCTGTTAGTAAACAGACCCGAAAGTTTGCAAAGTTTTACGGGAAGGAGGAAGTATTAGATCATAGTTCTCATTCACACTCATGTCATTTCCAATAACATAAAATGGCTGCTGACATTAAAATCACCCACATACATCATCAACCAAGATCACATTTGGGCCCTGTTGGATTGGATTTGGAAGAGCCTCCAAAATGTGTCATTAGTGGGTGTGAGAGGATGGTTAATGAGCTCCCGACATAGAGGAGCGCAAATCCCTAAGACCTTAGTAATTAAAGATCAAATCTTTGGGCCATTAGGACCATGAAAATGATCATCTTGCTCCTAACTTAATTACTGCTTTGTTTTGTGAAAGAGATGAAAGCAGATTTCTTTTCCTTTTGGACCATTCTTCTAAACCTATTATAGTATGTGGTGTTGTTAATGTCAACATCCTTGATTGGGATGAGACTTGAACCTGTGACCTCCTCTTTGAGAGACCAACAGTGATGCTATCAGACCACAAGGTACTCGAGATGAAGCACATTTCTTAAAAAATAAGTTATAATTGGATGATGATATTGGGATGCTAAGAAACATGATGAAGCGCATATGTCAAAATGTCACGCCAAGAGACCCGACACCCAAGCGACAATCCCATTACTTCCAGCCGCCACATATGTATGCTCTTGGCGTGCTTAAATTTCCAATTATATATGCACACCATTTTTTTGGCATTACTTCAAGCAAGGGCAGGTCTTGACAGTTAATGGGATTATTTTTTACAATATTGTAAATCATATTTTTGAAGTATTAGAGTCCTTTTGATATCATTAAAATAGCTAAAATTATGTTGTATAATAACTTCAGGCAATTCAATTAGAAAAATAATTTTAACCTTATTTACTTTGGTTGTTACGAGTATTTTGATTATAACATAATTCAACGTGTGAAATAAAAGTTACATATTTGAAAACAAAATTGTCTGAAAAGGTTGAAAGCCGAAAGAAGTTACCAAACGAGCTCTTAATATACTACCTATATATGAAAAACGTTATTCTCACTTTTCCTTTTCACCGGTAGCTAAATAATTTTCTCATTTCTAAATCTTCTCATCATATCCTTAATAATTTTGAATAATACACTATTACAACCAGTGGCGTATCTAGGAATTTCCATCGGCGAGGGCGAACTTACATTGATTATTTCACGCATCTCACAAACAATGCTTGCATTTAGAAAACATAGTGTAAAATCAATTATAAATAACAAAATATTCGCAGGACACAAATATTATGATATCATAATTAAAAAGTTCATGTCAGATAAAATTCAACTTTGCTAAAAATAAATTTTAATCACACAGTTTATAACTTATTCAAAATTATGTTAACAATAAAAATCAAATAAGGAATGAATCAAATTTGTATTTAAAATTAATTTAATTAAGTTGTGAATGCACAATATATTAAAAATCAGCTCTTCGTATATATTACGTGTAACAATGTACTCCAGGGCCGGTCCTGAGAAAATGAGGACCCTGTGCAATAAAAATAATTGGACCTTCTCTTCAAAGTTTCAACACAAGTAATTTGTATTAAAATACAAGCTACTATATTATTGAAAATAATAATAAAAATTAAAGTATTCATTACCAAAGTACATTTTATTTAAAAATAATGGACGTCCTTCGAGCGAATATAATTACAACTACGAACTACTTATTGAAATCCTCCAATAATCCTATACATATATACATATTTTAGTTAAATATTAATTTATTTTTACTTAAGGACTATCACTTACAATTTATAAGTATATCTATAACAATTTAAGTTAACAGTTAAAAGTATAAAAATATATATACCAATTTATTAAATATAAATAGTTTAATTAGTTCATCAATTAGTTACATTAAATTATAAATAACAGCCCAATTTATTAATTTCGTTATTACATCAATCCATCATACATTAGTAGGTCTTAACTCTATATCCCTAATGACCCTAATAAATAATTGAAATCACATATTCACATACAGTGGCGGAGGCAGAAAAACGGCTTAGGTGGGTCGAAACTCAACCTATATGCAGAATGAAAATGGTGGATCGTTTTTAAACAATGTCCGAGTTGAATATTTCATATGCAGTTTAGATAAATAGGCACTCGTAGCAATAAGATATATTATCTTTGCTTTGTTTCTGAGTCATGTCACGTAAATATTGAGTGAATTATATTTTATTTTTAAAATTTGGGAAAATAATTTATAGCATGCATCAAATTTTGCCGATTTTGCGTTTACATAGTGCTGATTTTCTAGAAGTTATAACTTTTTACTCGTAATGAGTTACGGGGCCATAATGTATCAAATCGAAGATATTTCAAAGCTCTATACTCTCAAACCTTTAGCGGGTCGACTGACCACCCTGACCCCCAGCTCCGCCCCTGCACATAAATTGCATAAAAAATTTATAATAAAAACATTAACAACTTATTAATTTGAAATAATTGCCCCAAATAGGACTAAAACATGGTTAAAATTCCAAAGTAGGACATTAAGTTTATTATTCCCTAAATAGGAGTCGCAATTACTTTTATACCCTTCAATTAATAAAACCCTCCAACCCTCCAGCGACGCCCAGGTAAACCCTTCAATTGCGTAAGATGCAGACCGCCATACGCCCAGGCCATATGCGATGAAGACCAACCGCGGTCTCCGGCGACGCCCAGGTAATTTCTCCAACTTCTCTTCTTCTCTTCTTCTATTGTTGGTCCTGCTCTGTTTTGTTCCTATTTTGTTTTTCTTCCACTTAATTGCATACTTTTGAGATTCCACAAAATTTAGATGCATGTGAGAATTGGGATGTGAAATCAAGACAAGGTTTCAGCAACGAGTGATAAGATTTCTTCTTTTTTATCTTCTTCTTGGATTTGAATTTTATTAATTTATTTGAAATCTGAAATATCAAAATCCCAAGTTTCATACTTGCAGACCTCCTGAGAATGTCAAGAATAATGACATGATGATGGAAGTTTCGTATAAAAACATGACATTTTCAATTAGAATGTCAAGAATAATGACATGATGATGAAAGTTTCGTATAAAAACATGGCATTTTCAGTTATGTCATTCTTAGATAAGCCATAAAATGCCATAAAATGCCATAACAATGACATTTTCTTATGGGCATTTGACATCTTCAGATTGTCATTTTGATCAATATACTGCCACAAACGTGGCAGTTTTTCAAATAACCAACAATTTTGACATTCTCAGGTTTTAAAAGTGACATTTTTCTGAATAAATAAAATTCAAATCCAAAAAATAACAAATCAATAAATAAAATCCACATAATTATTTAGAATTTAAAAAGGTAGTAGATGAATAGGAAAAAAACAGAAAACAGAGTGCAGGAGGGGGAAGAAGTGCACCAGTGAAGAAGAAGAAGAAGAAAGAAGACGAAGAGGAAAGAAGAAGAAGAAGAAGAAGAAGAAGAAGAGAGAAGAAGAAGAAGAAGAAGAAGAGAGAAGGAGATTACTTGCGATCGACGAAGGAGCTGCCATCGACGGAGGAGCTGCGATCGACGGAGGAGTTGTGTTGCGAGGCCATTGTCGGTGACGGAGCTGCAGTTCATAGGAGTGGTTGTTGGAAATATGCCCTAGGACAATCATACTTTATGATTTATCAATAAATATTTAATGCTCATTAATTAATAAAGTCACAAACTCATTTTATGTTAATTATTATTGTGAGTTTTCTTTATTAATATTTAGTCCCTGAATATTATGTTTAGTAGCTAATTAAGTACGTGACTTAATTGTGGAATGCTACACTTTGAAATAAGCATAATATTCTAATTGTCCCCGGTCTAATATTATTAATTTGGGACAATAATAATTAATAGACCAGTATGTGGATTAACTGATGGCTATATTCCACTAGTCATGGGTATAGAGATATCAAGTTAATAACATAGATGCTTGTTAGTGAACATTACTGAACAAGTTCATTGGACAGACCCAACTTGAGGACACTGCTAGGTTATATGTCATCAGTGTTGTCCTCAATAATGATAAGGTGCTATATTCTTATACTTGAGATAATTATGGTTACTTGCATGTGAATTAATATGTATTAACATCATTAAATGTTATCTTTAAATGGGTAATTATAAAGGTGGTGATTGTACATATTATGAACCATGTAGTGGTATGTGAATTATCAAGATAGTTTTTGTCACTCTCGTATAGCGAGAGAAAGATATCTATTGAGCCCCTTGACAAGTAAGATTAATAAGCATGGCCATGCTCAAATGAGGTGTCATTTGATCAAGATTAATCTTACTTGGTAATCAAGAAATATTAATTGAGAATAACAAGGATGACATGACCTAACCTTGTCTCAATTAAGATATCGTTTGACAAAAGAGAATTATTAGCACAAATTAATCATTAAAAGGTTATGTCAGATTTAATTGACATTTATATATTTTTGGATAGTCATAATGCCTTGCTAGAGGTCGCTTATGATTTGTGAGGCTTGAATTAATTTTTAGCCCACTGCCAACGATATATAAACCTACAGGGTCACACACCTAAGTGATTTGGATCATTAATGTTCGTTAATAACATTAAAATAGCCTGATTAGCCCAATTCGAAATGGGTTTTCGAATGGTATTGGGCTAGGGCCTCCAAGAGAGTTTTATTAGCTATAAAACTCCTTCTTTCCTCCTCTTATATATAGGGCTAAGGAGACCCACGAATTTGAAGAGTTACAATTCACATCTCAAAACCTAGAGAGAGAGAGAGAGATAGAAAGAAGAGAACGCTAGCACGTTCCTTGTGGCCGATCCAGTCACGTGCGTGTGGATACCGGTAGAGCTCGGGATCGTTTTCTCGGACTGTCTGACATCCTTGATTAAGATTACTATGTAAGTCCTTCTTATGCCTTCGAATTTCGTTTATAATATGAACCTCAGATCCGGTTGTTTACTTTTGGGCAGTATTTTTTTGTTTATTCCGCTGCGTTTTTCTGCCCGAAACTCAACAGTGGTTTGTTGCGATGCGGACTGGAGTTTTAATATTAAGGGTAATTTTATCAAGCTACTACATTTTAGTCCTATAAAGGTCCATAAACACATGGTAGTCCTAGTTTTGCATTTTTCTATTCTTTTAGTCCCATTTAGGAAATTTACTCTATTAATTTACCACTTATTAGTTACGGACTCACCTAGAGTAGTGGAGTCCTGAAGCCCCGGATGTTGATTCCTGAGTTGTTGTGGCCGTAAGGCCTGTAGATAGTTGCTATGCGGCCTGGAGCCGAGTCTGGAGAGGGAGAGTGTCGGCTCGTCGCTCGTCTCGCTCGGTTGCTCGTACGTCTTCACACTTTGGTCTTTCGCAGAATCACAGTTCGATGCTTCGAGTCCCTTCCCCCCTTTGCTTAATGCTTCACGCCCCTTCACTCTTGCACCTTGTTTTTTTAGCTATTGGGCTAACTAATATGGAGTAGTAGTAATACTACTACAAAAAAAATGGGCCTTTCCAAATTTTTGGCCCCTGTATGTGCGGTTGGACAACCTACACATCGTCAAGGTCGGCCCTGCCCTCCGCCCCGCATAGAGTTTCTCACATGATTTATGATGTTTGACTAATCATAAAGTAAATTAATCATTGTTCGTAATTAGATTTTTTTAGTAAAAAAACTTAAATATTCAAAAAGTACATTAAAGTTTTATAAAGTCGTCAAAAAATGTTGGAGGGACATTCGCATATTACGCACGCATGGATGGGAACTTACGCATGTTACGCACACATGCATGTAACTATTTTTTATTATTTTCCATGTACATTATTTCTTGTAACCGTTGCACATATTACGTAGAAGGATAGCAATATTATAGGAGTAGGATTCTTATCTCTTATGGTAGGTGTTTCCTTACTGGAGCAGATTGTACATGTATATATTTGATACGTGCATATCCGAATATACACACGTGATTATCCCAAATATACTGCATCTTATTTTGGTATCAAAGCAGGAAAATTCAAACCCTCTGAACACGCAACGATGGCGACCGATGCGGCGGTGAACGCCGGAAACCGAACGAATGAACCGGTGAGAAGGAAAATCAACGATCCTTCATCACCATATTATTTGACGAGCACCGAATTCCCAGGTATCAACACCTGCGGCATTACGCTCAAAGGTGAGAACAATTACCGAGAATGGACGACGGCAATGAAAAACGCCTTTCGTGCGAAACGAAAGATTGGTATTTTGGACGGAACTATCAAACGACCTGAAGGAAATCCGCAGGACTTGGAGGACTGGGATAGTGTGAACTCCATACTCGTCGGGTGGATGATGACGGCAGTAGAACCTAGCCTGGGTACAAACCTCACTTACATGGATAATGCGCGAGAGTTGTGGGAGGACCTGAAAAGTCGCTTTGCGGTTGGAGACCCGATGCGAATTCATGAACTTAAGGAATCAATACGGTTGTGCAAGCAGAATGGCCAGACCATAGCGATGTATTTTGGACGCCTGAAGGCATTATGGGACGACTACGAGGGATACCGAGTTATGCCTCATTGCACTTGCAATGGGTGTACATGTGATTTGGCCAAAGAGTATATGAAGCAAATTGAACAAGAAAAGGTGCATGAGTTTTTGATGGGGCTCGATCATGAAACCTACGGTGTGCTACGTTCAAACATTCTCAGCCAGGAGGAATTGCCGAGCTTAACAAGGGTGTATCAAATTATGATACAAGAGGAAAGGGTACGCAATATGACACGTACTAGCGACGAAAAGGTTGATGGTGTAGCCTTTGCAACACGGACGGGGGTACTGTTGTTGGGAAAGGATGAAACGATCTCATGCACCTTCTGCAAGAAGCACGGTCACAGCATAGAGAACTGTTTCAAAAGGACCGGGAATTATCCGGGAATGGTGGTTTGATAATCCAGGAAGAGGAAGAGGAGCACGTGGTCGGGGAGGAGGCGGTAGAGGACGTGGACGAGGTGGTGGAGGAAGGGCCATCGCCAATGCTGTGCACGCAGAACAAGCGGATGACGGAGGTGATATTGTGCCTGGTTCCAACGACAAGGAGATAACTCCAACGTTCTCGGCGGATCAGTGGAAGAAATTCTTTGAATTTATGGAACAATGTAAGAAGTCCTCGCATGAGACCTCCTCAGGTAAAAACGCTTGTACATCTTGGCTTTTAGACTCAGGAGCTTCGTTTCACATGACGGGTGATAAACACCTTTTGGTTAATCAACAATCTGTGGCACCCATATCCGTTCACCTGCCTAATGGCGAAATAACATTTGCTACAAGCAAAGGCGCGGTGCAAATTAGTCACGGACTAAAACTCACTAATGTGTTATACGTACCTGGTTTGATGTGTAATCTGATTTCTATTGGAAAGTTAATCGATGAACTGAAATGTGGGATATTTTTCGCTAATGATGTTTGTGTGATACAGGACTTACGTTTGAGGACGCCGATTGGAGCGGGTGAGAGACGTGGTGGAGTGTACTATTTTCATAGTTTGGATCCCATACGTGCTAGCTCAATAACAGGGAAGGATACGAGTGAATTGTGGCATTCACAGTTAGGACACCCTTCAGCAAAGATTTTACGAACAGCTCTTAATAATAATTTATATTCTGTTGTTTTGAATAAGAATTGTGACGCATATTTAGCAATTCCAGAGCATTTGAATTATTTGAGATGATACATTGTGATGTGTGGGGTCCTTATCGCTATCCGGCAACATGTGGTGCTAGATATTTTTTGACTATTGTGGATGATTTTTCACGGGCTGTCTGGGTGTATTTGATGCGGGAGAAAAGTGAGGTATCTACTTTGCTAAAACAATTTATTGCAATGATAGGAAGACAATTTGAAAAAAGGGTGAAAATTGTTAGGAGTGACAATGGAACGGAATTTCAGTGTTTAAAACCATATTTTTTAGACAATGGAATTTTGTTCCAAACTACGTGTGTTTATACTCCACAACAAAATGGAAGAGTAGAGCGCAAGCATAGACATATTTTGGAGGTAGCGCGAACACTTCGGTTTCATGCTCATTTACCTATACAATTTTGGGGTGAATGTGTGATGATGGCATGCCACCTCATAAACCGATTACCCTCCACTATTTTGGACTATAAAAGTCCATATGAACTTATATACAATAAGAAGCCGAATTATGATCAACTCCGAGTTTTTGGTTGTCTTTGTTATGCTCATAATCACGGGAGGAATCGAGATAAATTTGCTTCCCGAGGAATAAAGTGTGTGTTTTTGGGTTACGCCTACTCCCAAAAGGGTTGGAAACTATATGATTTAGACAATCACGGTTTTATAGTTTCACGGGATGTGACCTTCGTTGAAACAATTTTCCCTTACAAGACCGACATCCAACAATCACGTGACCTAGAAGGAAATGGTAGCATGCAGCAGGAGGTCAATAATCCTATCACTCATTTCGAGGCTCCTGATGCGGTGCATTTATCTATGGAGGACACGACAATCCCCACTCCCATACTACATGATACGGAGCAACAAACTGGGGGCTCTAGCTCTAGCTTTGAGGAGGCAACTGATGCTAGCAATCAAGCGACACGTGGTAGTGCTTCAGTCGAAACTGGCACGGGAGATTATGCTGACCGAACACGAAGAAGTATGAGACCGAGACAGAAACCTACATGGCATCAAGATTATGAAGTACAGATTAATACATGAAAATAGACACTCCGCCCGATTCTCGATCCACTTCACCGGTTGACTCAGGTAACCCTCATCCCTTATCTCATTATGTGAATTATAACCGTTTTTCGGTACACCATCGTGCTTTCCTTGCAGCAATTTCAGAGCACAAAGAACCTAGTACGTATAACGAGGCGGTGCGTGACCCCCCTTTGGAGAGCTGCCATGCAGCGTGAATTGGATGCATTGGAAAGAACTGGTACGTGGACTGTACAAGACCTTCCTCCCGGTAAGAAACCTATTTTTTGTAAATGGGTTTATAAAATCAAATATAACAGTGATGGCAGCATTGACCGGTACAAAGCTCGTTTGGTCGTGTGTGGTAATCGTCAAGTGCAAGGAATAGACTATGATGAGACTTTTGCACCAGTGGCTAAGATGGTTACTGTTCGTGTTATGTTGGCTTTTGCGGCTTCCTGGGATTGGGAGATTCATCAAATGGATGTAGACAATGCCTTTCTCCACGGGGATTTGCATGAAGAGGTGTATATGCATTTACCACCCGGTTACTCTTCTCCCAAACCCGGACAGGTGTGTAAATTACTTCACTCACTTTATGGGTTACGCCAGGCACCACGTTGTTGGTTCTTCAAATTAACTAACACCCTTGTCTCGTACGGCTTTAGTCAGTCACATGCTGACTATTCTTTATTCACTCTTCATCGTGGAGGACATATTTTATGTATACTAGTTTATGTTGATGATTTACTTATTACTGGCTCTAACCCCACGATGATTTCCTCTCTCAAAAAACATTTGGCTCAAACGTTTCCTATTAAGGACCTGGGACACATGAAATATTTTCTTGGGCTAGAAATTGCACGGGGACAAAAGGGAATTTTACTTTGTCAACGTAAATATATTCTGGATATTCTTGACGAGACAGGGTTGACTGGGGCTAAGCCAGTTTCGTTCCCTATGCCACAACATCATGGATTACAATTTGCCGAGGGCCCTTTGTTTTCCGAACCGGATCGCTATCGCCGGTTGGTTGGCAAACTTATCTATCTCACTCTTACACGGCCCGATATAAGTTACTCTGTCCACATTCTTTCCCAATTTATGCACGCACCTCGACGTGTTCATTGGGATGCTGTTATCCGGGTTCTTCACTATCTCAAAGGTCACCCCGGACAGGGAATTCTTTTCAGACGCCACTCACCGCTCACACTTTTGGGTTATTGTGATTCTGATTGGGCCAGTTGCCCCAATACACGACGTTCTGTTACAGGTTACTTTGTTACACTTGGGGGCTCGCTCATCTCCTGGAGAACTAAGAAGCAGGTGACGGTATCTCGGTCCTCCGCGGAAGCCGAGTATAGATCCATGGCCACTATTACATGTGAACTTCTTTGGCTCAAGAGTCTCTTTCACTCTTTACGCATCAAGTTGAGCCCAATACAGGTTTTATGCGACAACAAAGCCGCCATTTATATCGCCTCTAATCCCGTATTTCATGAACGTACTAAGCACATTGAACTGGATTGTCACTTTATTCGCGATCATGTACGTTCCGGTGCTATCATACCCTCTTACACTCCCACCAAAGAACAACTTGCAGATATATTCACTAAGGCCCTTGGTGATTCTCAGTTTCATTATCTTCTCGGCAAGATGGGCATTCTTGACCCCCATGCTCCATCTTGAGGGGGGGGTGTTGGAGGGACATTCGCATATTACGCACGCATGGATGGGAACTTACGCATGTTACGCACACATGCATGTAACTATTTTTTATTATTTTCCATGTACATTATTTCTTGTAACCGTTGCACATATTACGTAGAAGGATAGCAATATTATAGGAGTAGGATTCTTATCTCTTATGGTAGGTGTTTCCTTACTGGAGCAGATTGTACATGTATATATTTGATACGTGCATATCCGAATATACACACGTGATTATCCCAAATATACTGCATCTTATTTAAAAAACTCAAATTTGATAATAGTTGAACATATAAAGTAAGAGATTAAAAAAAGTTTACATTGATCGAAGAATAGTGGACATGAACCTTTGTTTTGGATGGATGTAGTAACTAAACTTTACAAATCATAAATTGTGTGTGAAAAAATAATTGTAATCATATTGAAGTAGTTTAAATACAATGATATAAAACCACTTTTAAATTATCAGAACAGTGCTCCTGGCCCTGATGGATATCATGGAATTTTTTTTAAAAAATGTTGGCCTATTGTGGGGCAGGATGTTATTCAGGCAGTTCAAGAATTCTTTTCGGGGCTTCCTATACCCAAAGGTATGTGTAGTGCCATGATAGTTCTAATTCCTAAATCTGATAGACCAGCATCTTTCAGTGACTACAGGCCTATATGCTTATCAAATTTCATCAGTAAAGTTTGCACAAAGGTCTTGATTGATAGATTGAAATCTATACGGCCTAAAATAATATCTAAGGAGCAGGCTGGTTTTATGGAAGGCAGAGATATAGCTGATCAAGTTTTAATTGCACAAGAAATGATTCATTGCATTGATAAAAAAGTTAGGGGCACCAATCTTGTGGTTAAATTGGATATGGTCAAGGCTTTTGACAAGGTTTCTTGGCAATTTTTATCAGCTATTCTTTTAGAGTTTGGATTTTGCTCACAATTTGTTCATTTGATTATGAATAACCTAAGAGCAACCTTTCTCTCTCTGCTAATCAATGGCAGCCCCCAAGGTTTTTTCAAGCCTTCCAGAGGGGTTAAACAAGGGGACCCCCTATCCCCCTTTCTTTTTATTATTGCAGCTGAGGCATTCTCAAGAGGATTAAATGGACTGATGGAGAGAAGAAAAATTAAGTCCTTCTACATGGGGAGGAATGGATCTCCTATCTCACATTTGGGATTTGCGGATGATCTTTTGATCTTCTTAAATGGGGATGCTAGATCACTGTTAAATTTTAAGCACTTTCTACATGACTATCAGCAAGCTTCAGGCCAAGAGATTAATTTTGGAAAAAGTTCTATTTTATGTGGCAAATCTTCCCCAGCCAGGCAGACTAAGATTAAAAATCTTCTGGGTATGAAGTTATCTTCTCTTCCTATTAAATACTTGGGGGTTAACCTCCATAAGGGTATCAATAGGTTCCAATTTTGTGGAAGCTTGATAAAACAGTTTGAAAATAAGCTTACACCTTGGAAACAAAAGAATCTGACTCAAAGTGGAAGGCTGATTCTGATTAAACATGTTCTAAACAGTATTCCCATGCATATTCTAGCTGTGGATAATCTCCCAAAGAAGGTTGTTTCAATGCTAAATAGAAAGATGGCTTCATTTTTTTGGGGCTCCTCAGGTGATAAGAAGAAATTTCATTGGATCAAATGGTCTAGGCTTTGTTTTCCTACATTAGAAGGAGGTTTGGGTATAAGGTCTTTAACTGATCTTGAAAAGGCTTTTTCCATTAAACTCTGGTGGAAATGGAAGACAGGAGATTCACTTTGGACTCAATTCATCAAAAATAGGTACAATAGAGGGAGTGTGATGATACCTAAAGTCATAGATTCAGCCATTTGGAGAAGAATTTGTGCAATTCATGACCAAGCTTCAAGTCTTTGCTTTGTGGATGACACTGGGAATCTGATATGGGAAGGAGAAGAGGATGGTCATTTCTCCTTTAAATCTGCAATTGAAGAGATTAGAGATTTATCCTTCAATTCTGAAATATATCAGGCTATTTGGGAATCTAAGCAGGAAATGAAAATTAAGCTTCTCCTGTGGAAAATTGTTAAAGGTATTATTCCAACAACTGATAAGATAAGTCGTTTTAATATGGTCATGTATCCTTCTATATGCCCGCTCTGTAGACACCACAGTGACTCATTGAATCACCTTTTTTTCAATTGTGAAATGGTGGTGGGGGTCTGGAACTATTTTTATGGTATTCTGGGTATGCATAGGGCCGGGGGAACTGATTTTAATCCCTTAAGGAGTTTGCGGGGTAGCAGCAAGATGAGAAGTCTTCTTAGTGTTTTTAAACACAATATCACTGGTATTATTCTGTGATTTATTTGGAAATCTTATTCAGCTAGAGTTTGGGGAAATGAGAAGTCCACTGTGTCAACAGATCAAATTATTCTCCAAATAAAAATGTACACACATTCTTGGGCTATCAGTCTGTCTGGTATGAAACTCAGGTCGATTGGTGCTATTTTATATGAAGAAAATTTGATTCCTCAATACTACAAGCTTAACTTACTGCGGCCTCAAGTTATTTGTTGGAAAAAACCAAAAAAGAAATGGAAATTAAATGTTGATGCCAGTTACTCACCTGATAAGGCTTTCGGAGGTGCGATTTTGCGAGACCGAACTGGAGCAATGATCAGTGCTATCAGCTTTCCCGTCCAAGCAAAATCGGCCATTGAAGCAGAACTGAGAGCCATTTTCTTTGCTGTGAACTGGGTGATGAGTGAAGGTTATGAAGATATTCAGGTGGAATCGGATTCGTCTTTGGCGTTGGAATATTTGGCTGAAAAGATTACGCGCAGATGGAGATCCCTAATTTTGGAAGTTGTACAGCTCTCGATTAGGAAACAGTTGGACTTCGGACATATCTTGATGGAGGGGAACTGGGTCTCGCATTACTTAGCCACGGCCCAAAGTAATATGTTTGTCCGATTTTGTGGGCCAAATCAGTTACCCAATTTAGCTAGACGGGCTTATTGGATGGATTTTTTTGGTATTCCTTCCTTGAGATTTTGATTTATTTATATATGTGTATTTGCTTATTTTGAGAGGCTTTGGTCTGGTCCTCCTCTTGTGTAAATTTATGTTATCTAATAAAATCCCGGCAAATGACACCCGACATTTACCCCACTGATTTTGGTGGTTTGCCTTCCGGGTTTAAAAAAAAGGCAAAACTGAAACAAATTACTCCGTATAAAAGAAAAAGTTGAAGTTCGAAGTTAGAACCCCGAATGACTCTTCCACAGAGTTACACGCATGATTAAAACAACCAATCTGCTACTGGAAAAAGATATTGTCCATCCGGATGGGCAAGAGGCACCATCCGGCCGCTGCCGTTTGAGGCGGTTATTGGTAGATTTTTTTGATGAAATTTTTTGAACATGTTCCTCATCAAGTGTAGTTTATCCACACAAAAATGCAGCTAAAATTTCAATCGAGGAGACTGTCAAATAAAGTTTTTAAAAGAACTACGTTTTATATTATATCTTTGCGCAGTTATCTTCATTCAAAAAATTATTTGATAGTTTTACTGGTTGAATTTTTAGCTGAAATTTTTTGTGGGTAAACTAGACTTGATGAGAAACATCCTCAAAAAACTTCAGCAAAAAACGTAACCGAGAACCGCCTCAAAAGGCGGCGTCCGAACGGCGCCTCCTGTCAGAGGCTGGACAAGATCATTCCTCCGGCTACCGGCCTACCGTAACTTTTACTTATCAAACTCTATTGTTGGTAGAAAATATGTTGAGTAGAAAATTCGGCAGCAATTCAGTACAGTAAAAGTGACCTCCTCAATACAAAAGGAGTGGCGGCCTATTTATAGGCGCTTACAAGAGGTTTGTCAAACGCTAATGGGCTTGGCCCAATTAAACAACTAAAACAAGAAGCTTGATCCAAGGCCAATGAGCCGGTCGGCCCAAGAGTTAAACAAATTAATCCAAGGACCATATTCTCTAGCCGGACCGTGTGTTGGGCCAGGTTTGCGCCCGAGCCCAGGCATATTGGGTCGATAGTATTGGACCTGGCCCATTATCCCAACACGAGTCCCCCACTCCCTTAGTCGAGTAGCGGACTCGGCTAGAAGGGAGTAGTCGAGTTGCTAAAAGGTCGGTCCGGCTATCAGATTGGCTGGCTAGTCGCACCTCCGTTATAGCAGCCTGGGGTGTTCGTCAACGTAATCGTTGGCCCGTAGGGGGGACATTCTTCACGGGCCTTGATCGGCCCCTTTGCTTTGCTCCCTACTGCGTGCGAAAGGACGGGGGTCTCGCTGCTCGCTCAGCGAGTCGGGGTGTCCAGGGGGCGATGCGCCCCCTGGCCTGGGGGTCCGGGAGGCGGAGTCGCCCCCGGCCCGACGGTATGCAACGTTTTCCATCAGCTTCAATAATTCGGGCCTGAAATTCCAAAATACGAGCCTTGTTTTTCTGTAGCCGTATATTGACCGTGCGACGGATATACTTGGGCTTTAGCTGCATACTTTCGACCCTGACCAATAAAGAAACCCCGCAGCCAGGGTTGGAATCCCGTCCAAGCCTTCGCATTCTGTCAAAGAAATCCCAGGCCAGCTTCCTCAAATAACCCGGAGCTATTCCAATGAATAATTTCCTTCCTTTTTTTCTTTCCATATTCTTTTAATTTCCTTGAATCCGAGTGTGGCCTAGCCCTAACACCATCGATCATCCACGCGCGCTTCAGCCATGCAGGTCCCCTCAGCTTCAGCCGTTCCAGCCGCAACCATGGTATCGCCGCAGCACTCCATCCCCAGCCGGCGAAGGAAATGCAGCGGCTCCCTTTCTCCGTCGCGCCGGAGGGAGGTTCATTCACGACGTTGCTCGCCGTCGCGATCTCGTAGCCCAGGCGGTCGGAAAAAACTCAGCAATTCACGGTCATCCTCGCCCCCTGTTCCAAGCCTACGCATCTTAAAACTACCGAGTGTTTTAAGATCATTTACCGTCCAAGGGTTCTCATACCCCAATGGAACACATACCCCCTATGTAAGGATCTAAAGTCAGAATGAGCAGTGACAGAATCTTTAGCATTTACATAATCACAACCAGCACAAACACCTCCTTTAGCAGAGGGTGTACCCAAACATGATTGGCCAGCTTTAGTTAAACAAAAATGAACAAGGAACTGAAAACAAATTATCGAACCAAAACAAAAATACCTCACAAACTGAAGAAATCATAGAGGCATAGATTGCATAGTTTTGAAGGACTGGAGCCATGTTGTTCACTATTGTAGTTGTTATTACTTCTTCCAAAGGGTCACTAAACAATCGGCAAAAAACCAATCAGCCAATATAATGATATATTGAATAATGAACACAAAACCTTAGAAGGAAAATGAAGAGTAAATATATTGGGATTGTTTTATCCATTTACCTTCAATACAGTCAAGAATTTGATCCATGAAACCTATTTTCTTCTTGGAAGCAGAACAAGCCAGTGAAGGATTCCGAACTTTACCATCTGAAATAACAAAATTGGAATTCTCCTTACACGCAGACAACCTAAGAAACTTGATTGGGTAAAAACTTAAGTGGGTTATCCACTTTGTGTTGTTTCATGTCTTCACAACAACTACTAACAATTGGAGATGGAGATGACTAAAAAATGGAGATGGAGAAGAAGATGGATAAGAGGATGGAGATAGGTAACAAATGGAAAGAGGCGGAAGATACATGCAGATTGACATCGAGGGCGGCTCCTTCGGCGGACGATGGGTTGTGACGCTTCCTTGAGAACCCTAGTTTGCGGACGATGGGCTCTGCCACCGGTCCTTGACCCTCCGCTGGCGGCATAGTGTGCCGCGCAGGCCTTGGGAAGCAAGAAGACAGCTATCAGTTGAAAGAAGGCGTAAAAGAGATGCTCCCATTTCGTTAGTGCGGCCGATGATCCCTGGCCGCAGAACACTCCACCTGCACATGTGCGGTGTGGATCCATTTGAAATGCTAAGCAAGGGAAAAAAACGGCTGAAAGAAACGGGGGGGGGGGGGGGGGGGGGGGGGGGGGGGGGGGGGCTGTTAGTTGAGTTTGCGCCTAAAAGGAGTAACAGCGCAGACTGTTCACACGGCAAATAGGCCATAGTAACTCCCTTAGGCTCTTATAGTTTATAGTATATATATATATATATATATATATATATATATATATATATATATATATATATATATATATATATATATATATATATATTAGGGGTTGGGTGAGGGTTGAGTTGGGGCACCTGCCCCCTTCCCCCATGGTGGATCTGCCCCTTCCCTCAACCCTTCTCTTACTACCAAGATGCGACACAAACTTTCTATGTTCTAATATGTACGATCTATTACATAAGTTATGCAGTGTTCGTAGATTATTATGGCCCTAGATTATTAGAACTTAGAGCATAAGGGCATTATTGCATTCATTACCTAAGAGGCCAAGACAAAATAATTACAATCACACATGCTTAATTTATCCAATTCTCCTATATTTTCCAACCTTTATTTTTTGGAAAAGAATGATATGTGTGTGTGATTAATAATAATGTTTCATTAACTTCAAACTAAGTTCAACCCTTACAAAATTCAATGCACATTTGTTTCCAATGGATTATGATAGTTCCATTGACACATCATCATATATGGAAAATAGTAAAAATAATAATAATAAACTAATAAAAGTGCAGACCATTTTTCGGAAAAGAATAGTGAAATAGCAGACTAGATTATGATACAGTGCATCATTAATTAAATAGAATTAATTATAAAGATTAAATGAATTCAGCGTGTGATGAATTCAAATACACTTTAACTTGCATCTTAGTAAATTAAAGGTCTTAAATGGATGAGATTCACGGATATATGGTGCGAGTGCATGCATTTAAAAAGAACTTCCACTCTCCAATTCAATCGTAAGTTAAAAAAGGGCACTACAGTAATCTCTCAAATATTATAAGCATGAATAGAGGTAAGGGTATTTTAGGTATGGAAAATGTGTTGGTGGTACATAATAGCTTTAGAGATATATACCCAATGGTTAGATAATTGTACTCTTTCTGTCTTTCCCCACTAATAAACAACGTCTATGATCCTTCCGTTAGCGCTCAGTCACCCCTACTCACAACGCAGCGCCCCGTCTCCCTATATATTTCATCGCATTCGACGCAGATTGGTTAGCACGCACTAATAACCTGCTTATAAAGTCTTCGTCTTGTCTCCTCCGCAATAGAGTGAAATTTGGAGGGAAGAACGCAAACTTAGTTAACGAACCAAACTATGTCCTTCCCAATCCGACCCTTCATCTCCATTATCCCATAGCTCCGCCTCTATATCAGGTATAACCCTCCGCTCTTCTCTCCTTTTTCATTTCCGAATTCTTCACGCCATATCTTTTTATTGTCGGGAGCAGTTGACTGAAATTCAGGCTATGCTCTTCCTCTCTTGTGTAGGCTGACTGCCCAGGGATCCGGTGTGAGGATATCCAGATCTCCCATGGAAGGGGAGGTGGTCTCTCGCGACGCCTCCAAGACGCCGTTGTCGGCGGTGGTAGACGCGTTCGAGGGCCTTTTCGTGGAGGTGGATACCCAGGGGTTTGATCGTATTCAACTGAAACCATTCTGCGAGGCGTGCTCTCTTGCCTTTAAATTCGCCGAGCTTGAATACGTTGCCAAGGTTTGGTTTCCTCATTCAATTTCATTTTAAAATGTAATTTTGAATTGTCATTCTGTTTGCTCTTTTCAACAACAGACTGATTGATGACGATAACTAGCTTTGAAGTTTAGTATTAGAACGAAATTTTAAAAGCAGGATATTTTTATCCATTATTTATACAGGTCATAATAAGCTGTTTAAATGAGTATTGTCAGTGCTTATATTGTCTGTTTCTCGTCTGCACTACATGGAGCTCTTGCAATTTAATCTCCTCTCCTCTCCTCAAATAAGTATTCATGCCTAGAGTGTTCACCAACCACATACTACTAACATAACACCTCTATACATAACTAATTGGGCACATACTGGTTCAATACAAGTCAGACAATTAATGTTGTGTAACTCTTTATCAGATTATACCGGTTTGATTAAAATCAATATTTGTAGACATACAATGGATCACCCAGCTAAAACAAAATCCACAAGAAATGGAATTACTTGTTTTACTTTAATCAAATAAGTAGGACACTTATTCAGCACTGCCATTGCTGCCATTTATTTAGTACTTATGTTTCCCCGCTATTCTTCAATCTTCCCATCCATCAAATTTATTTGCTTATTTATTTGCATATATAAGGGAATAGAGGTAATTGAATATATGCTGGATAAATTGTAGGTATTTGAAAGCATAATATCTATGGTCACTATAATTTATCATCAAATGTGTTTAGGTAGCACTATAGTAATATGCATTTTCATATGATAACAATAACAATAAACTCATCTGAGTTTTATAGTAACTTAGTTTGTGGTTTATGAAAGAATATAGTAGCCAAAGTTGTCCACTAAATAAATAAAGAAAAGAAATAAAAAATTATAAAATAATTTCATTACACCTAAATTCTCTTCATTCAAAATTTTGTCAAGGACAAACCATTGTTATGATGTAATCTATTCCAAATCAGATTACTTCTTGAAACTAATCCTAATTATTATTTTTATTACTAAAGTTACTACATAAATGGTATTTTATTTTATTTTATTTTTACTAAAAGTAATATAGAAACATGTTGGGCACATGAACAACTTATTTGGTTTCAGCTCCCTTATTATTACAATGTTTTAAAATAACTTCATACCAGTTGTGATTTAACTGCCAAATACAAGAGCTTTACAACCGTTGTGAAAATGTTCTAATTAGTTGTATTTATTATGAAAAGTGATATTATTACTCCAGGATTTGGTAGGAGGGTATGTGGTTGTTCAGTATGCCGGAATTGCTGATCGTGTTAGGATGTTGACAGGTAATGTATCTTGATGGGGGCCAGGTAGTGAACTGTGAATAGGATTAGCTGGATAAGGCAAGTAAAAACCAACGTCTTTAATCCAACCTTTGTGCAACTAGAGAAGATGTCAAAAGATTCAGTAGCTATCGAATCATTCTTCTGGCAACTGAAGCTGACATCAATAACCATTCTGCAATGGTTAAATGTAAATCATATCATGGTGAGATCCATTTGGCAGCGGCACTTAAACCGCATACTTAGATGACATATATGTTTAGCAAACTTCCGGATCCAAGATCATCCTTGGAAGATAAACTTAATCTCTTCGTAATGGTCATAAAGCTCTTAACTTAATAGAGCAAATGGAAGGGGTTTATGAGGTGTAAATCTATTTTAGGAGACAATGATTAGTTCTAACTGAATTGTTGACAATACATCTTCATTAAGATCATCCTGGAACATTCATAAGTGGAAAAGCACTTTCTAGATTTCGTTAGCTTTCATTATTGTTGATGTGACTCAGTGTTCCAGGTATGTCTTGCCAGAGTTCATCATTATATTGAGATATTTTTATCTATACATTAGTTCATTGCAACTTATACAAGAGTTAGATTTTAAAATTTCTAATCAAACTTATGATATTTAGTCAAGTATTTCATCTATAATCTATAGATATCATGCATGCCTCCTAATTTTCTTGAGTGTCCTACTTTTTAACACAAGACTCAACAAATATGTTTCATAAGAATATGTATACACTGATTGAAAACTTAAAAGTCCCTTATGTCACCTCTATGTATTTATTCAAACTATCATCTTTCAAGCAAAATGTTGTTCATGGGAAATAGTAGATAAGTTACTCTGATTGCTTAAGAAACTACCTGACATCGGTTCAGATCATTGATAGATACAAGTTAATTATAATTCCAATAAGAAATATAATAGATGTTTCAATCATTTTTTACTATGTTCATTACAATCTTCCTTTTATTTATATAGGAGAATCTATCCAGCAAGGTATGATGAAAAATGATTATAATTAAATCTGTTTATTAAGATTTTCTTTGGTGGTGGGGGGATGGATTCTTACGGAATAACAGGCTGAACAATATATTGTGACCCTTTCATGGAAGACATGTCATGTTCAATATGAGCTCTCTTAACGATATAGTAAGATGGTTGAGATAGTATAACATAGGTGATGAGAAAGGTTATATATAACATGGTTGAAGATATTGGAGGAGAATGGATAATTAATTCATATTTTATTGCTTAATTTCTTTTGGTAAGGTTTGGACTACAAATACTAATCGAATTACTTAAATCATGTGCAAAGTATTAGATGTTAAAATAATTGGACACTCTAGGAATAAATATCAATGTTCTTCTTTCCCCTAAAATCCTAAAGAAATAATCCATTCAAGTTTGTTTTTGCTTTTGATTTAAAGAAATCTAATAAAAAGGATTTCATTATGAATATTTGAGTGATTTTTTTTTCATATATCAAATTTCATAGTGAGTCATGTAAAAGTCAATTTCATTAATAAAATCTTGGGCATTTATACGATCGCGCAGCGCGCTTGTATAAACTAGTTTAAAAAAAATCATTAATGCCTATCATGGAGTGTGTCATTTCCCTAAAAAGTAGCTAAAAATAAATACTTAAATCATATAAAATGTTTTACTTTAAAAATTGATTTAACTTTTTAAATTATAATCCGATTTTAACAAAAATTATATCAAATTAAATAATTTTTTTTATCTTTCATATGACACCAATATGTCATACTACCTCCGTCCAGTGGCGGACCCACTAAGGGTCCCACGGGGTCCCGGGACCCCATGAACTTCCAAATAAATACCTATATACAGGGAGAACTATCAAATAAGCACTCGAACTTTCATAAAAAGTGCAAATAAGCCCTTTTATAGGAGGTTCTGCCCGGACATCGCCATTTGGGGCGGTTTCCGGTGGAGTTTTTTGATGAATTTTTTTGAGAATCTTCTTCATTGAGTCTAGTTTACTCATACTAAATTTCAGCAAACAATTCAATCTGTAAGGCAGTCAA